CTTTTGATTCCCTAATAGTCAAGCGCTCTTCCGAAATACATATTGCTAACTCAATTTTTTCCGTATAAAAACACGCTCTATAACATTTGAAAGCTGCTAATTGGCGAGATTTGTTGGTCAACCTAAGGATTTCGGCATACACGAAAGAATGTTTTGTGTCTAGTGTTCGGTGGTTATCTAACTTATTACGGCATACATTCTATTTTTTTATGCCTGTCCAATACACTGACAAAATTTTTAAAGGAATATTTGCCATGGGAAGAAGCTCTTGTCGGGTTCTTTACAATACTGGATTTCTTCGGCAGCGAACCAGAGGCCAAACCCGCCCAAGTAAGCAAACTTAGTTATTAAAAGGTCTGAATCAGACTTCATTGCTCTTACAGCAATTTATGCTAAACTTGATGGAGAACATTTACAAAAACAGCAGTCTCGAACACATAACAAAGGAATACAAAAACGACAAACTATCATTTGAAATGTGAGTTTTGACTGTATTGTTACTTCTGTCAATATGTTTTACCAGAAATTGAAATGGAATACGGGAAAAAATCTACTGGCTTTATGTGGTAGCTTCTTTTTTTTACGTTTGTTCACTTTCTTCTATAGTGTACGTTTTAACCGCATATCATTTTGGCCTTAACAACCAGATGGCACTTTTGTTGCCAAACCTAAGACAAGCCTCGTTTTTAAAAAAATAATTCTTAAAGGTCATTCACGGATTTAAAATATATCGAACTTTTTTGGTGGCTCATTTTGTATAGAAAATTGGCCGACTTTTAGTTAGAACTGCGCAAGAATTTAGGTAATAAGATAAAGACCTTGTTTATTATGCGTATACAGCCTCGGCGGCAGGTCTCCGGAAGGCAAGCTGGAATTCGTTTTTGTGAAAAAAGCAAAGGGGATATCGCATGGGGTCCTGAGAGGAGCCTGGAGTTCAATTTATATGACCTTTCTTTCTACAACAAGAATGTTGAAGCTCCATACACACTTTAAGACAGTTCAAGCTGCTCCAGCAAAGCTTCAAATTTCGTTTCAGTGCGGGCGACTGCGCGGGAAAATCAAAAGAATTTCAAAAATTTAGAAAAACCCGTTTTTCAAAGCGAATAGGCATTA